TCCATCACCAGTTACAGAAATGTCTGTGCCGCAAACAAATTAAAATTCAAAGGTTTATTGGGACAGATTTCTGTCTTTAGAGAAAGTGGTGCAGACTCTGCTTATCAGGTATTCATGAAATTATTCAATGAAGTTTTTGATAAGTACTTTCCAGTTAATTATTTCAATGATGGATTAAAAAAAAAAACATAATCCCTGGTTTTCCAGTGGATTGGAAAAGTATTCAAAAATAAAAGTTAAGCTTTACAGGAAGTATCCATCTTCACCTTCTTTAAAATCATGTCATTTACAAATCTTATAGAAATAAGTACGCTCATCTTCTAGCAGTTTTCTGAATCTGTCAGTAATATCAAATTTACATGGAAAACAAATCAGCTATTTCAGAAAAAAATTAAAATTAAAAAGCAGCATCCATCCACCTTCTCAGATGGACAGTTTGTGACAGTTTTGAGATTGTGTGTAGGTTTATTGACTTCTCAAACGTGGGACCCTCTCTCGATTAAAAAAAGTAAATTAAAAAAAATTGACTCAAACATCCATTCATTAGATTATAGAAATGATTCATTTCCATGAATTAGTCATTTTGATCCTCCAGACTCAAAACGAAGTGAGGGAGATGTTACTAAGACTGAAAACATCTGCACTTTGATGGGACAAGTGCTTCTGCTATCAGAGAAATTATAGCAATAATTACTGAACCACTATTTTCTCATCTATGAAAACTGGCACTATACCGTCTGATCTAAAGCCTGCGAAAGTTGTACCCTTGTAAAAAACCAGGAAGCAAACCTTATTTTCAAATTACCGTCCAATTTCAATTTTGCCATATTTCTCGATGATCCTAGAGAAACTGGTATCCAAAAGGTTCAGTTAGTTTTCAATAAAAATAAATAAATAAAGACATTTTATACAATTATCAATATGGCTTTCATAAAATTTGTTGTGTTTGTATGGCACTTCTTGAAATGACAGAATTCATACTGCTTTAAATAAGGAATTTGCCATTGGGGGATCTTTCTAAAGCATTTGATACAGCAAATCATGAATCTTTGCTTTCAAAACTATGAATATGGTTTTAAAGATACTGTATACAAATGGCTTGGTAATTACTTATTGTGCAGAAAACATGTTTTTATTAAGYAGCATGAATCTATGCTAGACTGAACATGATTAAATACYGAGTTCCACAAGGTTCAYTTTTAAGACCATTATTGTTTACATAAAGGATTTTGCTTCTGCATCTAGTTCTACAKTTCCATTACTTTTTGCAGATGATACCAATCTTTTTATCTCAAATGACAATATTACTACTTATAAATGATGATCTTTATAAATATTCAAAATGATTTATGGCAATAAATTGTCTTTTGAATGTCAAGTCTAGAATGATTTTTATTTGCTGGAAATAAAACCTATAATAGTGATCAAATCAAAATTTGTACCAATAAAGAAGAAATAATGCAAGTTTCATCAGCAAATTTTTAGGGGGTTGTGGCTGATGAGAAACTCTGTTGGAAGGACCATATTGGATATGGCTGCAAAAAGAATTACTAAATTAATTGGAATTTTAAGTAGGATTAGACATTTTGTTTCAAAACCCCAAGTGCACCATTTTATTTATAAATTTAAACTGCTGAATATTTCTGAGTAACACTTCTCTCACATTTGTGTTTAATGCTCTGTATGAGAATAACTGGTGTTTCTATGTTAAAAGTTATATAATATATCATTCACAAATTCATAATAATTCTACTAGGCAGACCAAATTTGCACCTTCCATCAAATAAATCACTGCGTGATCAATTTGATTAGATTTCATGGAGCTAAAACGTGGAACTCAAATACTGAACTTGTGGAATCTACTGTATCGTGTATATATAAAAAAAAAGACTAAAAATGTCACGTTAGGCATTTTGATGGATTCTGTTAATTTAAAACTTTTTTTCAAATTATGAATTTCTGGTATGTGTTTGAATAGATTTTAAAGTAAATTTTGATGATTTTTAAATTGATATCTTTTGTTTTTTATTTTACGTTTGAGGAGAGACGAAACGTTACATTAAAGAAGAACCCATCCAGAGGACCTACTTTTTTTTTTTTTTTTTACTTCTAATAGTTTAATACTTTGTACTCCTTTTCTTAAAAAAAAAAAAAAAAAAAAAAAACGATCTGGAGATGGTTTTAAGTTTCAGGAAGGTGTTTATTCTGAGACGGTCCTACCTAACTCGGAGCGAGCTACATTCATGGGAGCCATCTCCATCCAGGAGTCGAAGCAGGGGTCATAGCGCCACATCTCTCTGCTCGCTGATCCATCAGGAAACTCTCCTCCTGCCAAATACAGAGTCGAATCTACAAAGAGATATGAAAAGTGAAAATATAAATCTATTAGCACTCACTTATTGTTCATGTTAGAGGAAACTGGTTTATTTTATTCAGAGAATTAAAGTTTAAATCAGCCAAATGTTTAAAAATTTTGAAAAGTTTACTGRCAAATACAAAAATATGCCACTTTTTATTTTAAGTAACATCAGACTTCACTATCGACCTGTGTATGTTTTTATTTATTTTATTTCTGGTTAAAATGCAGCTTTTATGGTCTTACTAGTACATGTGCGCATTATTTTTGTTTCTTTTTATTTATCATATTCCTTTGTGTTTCACCACCAACCTGCCAGGCACTACAGATGAAAATAAGCCCTCATAGCTAAATCTGCTACATTTAAATCAAATCTTTATTACTGTGCACGGTCCCTTTTAAATAAATACAAATATAATGAATCTCACCCGAGACAACCAGCCCATGTTTGCTCACAGCGAAGGGCAGACACGCCAGATTCTTCCACTGGTTGGTCACAGGGTCGAAGCTCTCTACGCTGCGCAGCACCACCTTGTCATCCTCCCCGCCAACCGTCACAATCACTTCAGCTGTACCTGTCACCATGGAGATGGAAGTAAAGCAGAGGAGGAGGAGCGAGTCGCAGCCTGCTGACCTTTAGATGCATTGTTAAACAGTCCTCAGAAGAAAGAGCGTGCAATAACAAATCAGGCTAAAAAATACAGAGCAAAGCATAATACAAGTGTTTGAACATTTCTAATAAAGCTCTAAATTATTCAGTAATAACAATAACAATAATAATAATAATAATGTGAAGGTGCAAGTTCATTTACCTGTGGACCTGCGAGGTCTGGCTCTGAGGCTGTAGAGTTCTGCACGTCTGTCTTTCAGCAGCAGGTAGTCCTTGGCCTCAGAGATGAGCTTCTGGCAGCCCTGACTCTCCTTCACCACATCCAGAGACTCGATGACATCATGAAGGTAGTACGGGCTGATGAGAGACAGGCGGATGTGCTCAAGCACCTTTGAAAAACATGAAAGCAGAGACCATAAATAAATAATGTTTTGCCACAGTGAGGAGACTGTAATTTCTTCCTATCACCATCGTTATCAGCTTAAAACTAAAGAAAAATACTATTACTGGTAAAGACACACAAGATGGTGCACAAAAACAGTGAGTTTAACATTTAATAAGCTGAACATGAATCTTTTCACATCTCTGCCTCTGAAGGAAAATTCTTGTTTAAATAAAAGGTGGCAACAGTACCACATAATCCCCAGATTTATGGACATCTTTAAAAGTTAAAGTTTCTTCCACATGACAGTAAAAAATTCTGCAGATAAGATGAAACTAAATAAATAAAATGATGAATCCATATACGGTTGCGGCACAGAAATTCATCAACTCGTCGAAATTAAAAACCACTCTGACCTTTTCGAAGCTCTGCTTGCGAGTGGGGCATTTATTCAACCACAACACGACAGCCTCGAACACCACCTCCTCTTTAGGCACGTTGAGAAGGTCACTGGCGATGATTTCRGTCAGTTTGTCCACGCACAGAGACAAAAACTCCTCCTGGAGAAAACAGGATACGGGAAGCCTTTAACGTAAACAGCTTTCTGCAGAAACATTCGTTAAATAATGCTAACATCCCTCACTGAGACAGCACTAGGGTGCACACAAACTGTTATTTGGGATGTCAGTCAATTTAAAACACAAAAGCAACACCTGTGAACTGCTAGCATCCCATCACCTGCTGACAAACACTGTTGAAGTGCTCCAGGATGTACTCCATGCTGCGTTTCTCCAGCATTTTACAGGAGTGAGCCTCAGCAAAGCAATGAATTCCCACACAATTAATCTCGTCCATCTGACGCTCCATAAAGCGACAACAAGCCTCTCGAACCGCCATCACATCCAGCAGATTGGCTGCTGCCAGCAGCGCCTACACAACAAATCACATCGGCCGTTAGAAACGCGTCACTGACAGGTGGGGGGGGATGTGAGATTTCTCACCTGTACGTTCGCCTTAGAGATGTACACTTCTGATGTGTAGGCATAGCTCACAAGCATGCCAATCATTTGAGGTTCCACGCCATTTATAGCAACACGCTCCTGCTTGGACTCCAGCATTTCAGCTGAAAACATTGCCTGAGGAAACGAGAAGAAATCACACAAGGATTGTTTTCCCAGCACATGCCTAAGAAGAGACGAGCTTACCTGGAAGTAGGAGCTGAAAGAAGCCAACACAATGCGATGACAGGGGAACTCCTGCCCTCCACAGCACAGAGTCACATCACAGAAGGCGTTGTTGAGCCGCAGGCTGTTGAGGCCCTGCAGGACCGTGTTGGGGTGCCTGGTCTCCACAAACAGGTAGTCCTCGCTGCCTTGGGTGGCCGGAGGAGGGGCAGAAGCACCGGCGTCCTCCTGGACCTGGAAGATGGCGTTCATAGTGGACGGCAGGAGCAGAGGGGCGCTGACGGCAATTACTTCAGCCATATCTGACCGTGCTAGGCAGTCCTGAGAGGCAAAAACACACAGGCTCCGTTAAGCTAACCCCTCTGAAATCAACGCGCCACTTCAGAAAGCAAATAGTGAGCCAGWTTGCAAAGTTGCTMRATTGAAATCGGGTATAGCAAGCTGTAATATAAGAGAAATGTGCAAGTTYAGCAGCAAGGAAAGAGGCGGAGAATCCCTAATGAGGCTTAGCTCAGATGGAGCCGCGAAAAACAAGCGACWTTTTACAGAGCTAAACTACTTCCAGACCTCAAGAGAGCACGTGCGATGTACACACGGGTGATGTTTACCACTCGGAAACTGAAACGGACAAATACAATACCTGGAAAACATAGTCGTGACCGCAACAGAGRCAGAACAATCTTCCCCCATACAGCACAAACCCAGTTCCAGTCAGCAACCTTGAACGCCACTCATACGAAGCTCCACCCACCTCCACACTTTGCATTTTAGTAGCAGCTGTGGTAATAGTCCCGCCCCTGTCACCTTTACAACCAATCAACGAACAGAACAGAACGCTAATCACCAATCATAARAGAGCTTCTCGTGGATCCAATCTAGCAAAAACCTATCAAGACTTTGTACTTTCAGCTTCGTGTTGTGGAGATTCTAATGACAAAGATCCCCACAAATCCCCTGGTTAATTTCTTAAAGCTATTTTATTATTATTCAGAGGTTTAGTTTAGTACATTTACTATGTTACAGTACTGTAGACCTCTGTTATKATTACATCAATAGTAGCTTTTAAATCAAAAAGCTTTCAGCAAACCAGCTACTTAAACATTTTGTAGATATGCATTTAGTCAAAAATTCTTACAAGTGTTTTAAAATAGCTACATTTAGGTCAAATTAATTTCAGTTTTTATCTATATATTTTCCAGTAAAAGATAAATTAATCAGTTCTCTTTTTCTTCATATAAAAAAACTACTGTAAATCTACATAACTTAGTAACTGTCTGGAATCCAGAACAAAACATTGGTGCAACATTGGCCCCAATGTTGTTACCATCCTAAAACTGAAGCAAGAGGTGCACTGGGCCTACAACATGATAATGATGGTGATTTTTGTGTTATCTACCATTGYTTTGCTGGCCTTTTTAAGTTCTCACACCTATAATATTCAGTAAGTTACCTCACATCCTTTAGAAAAAAATACTAGCGTTTCCTCTCACTTGGTCCCAAGAATCTCCAAATCAATCTAACCTACACTGAGCTTTATGTTTGCAACACAAGAAAGAAGATGTTGATGTTTTGATCATGTTTTAATTATTTGACAGAATAGTAGCAAGATCAAGAACATGATGCTCAACTTATTCAGCCCGATTTTGTTTTGTCTTTCACAGTAATAAATAATCAAGAGTTCACAACAAAAATCTCATCATGTTTGTATCTACACTAATCTACTGAGCTTGAACACCAAGTATCCATCGTTTTTTAACCCCCTAAGCAGATTTTTGAACAGATGTCGTTCAAAACAAAACACCATGCAACTTTTATTTTATTTCTTTACAATGTGAAAAGGTTTGCAGAATTTGTTTACAAGAAATCAAGCAGATCAAATCAAGAAGTGACATCATTTCAAATGTTTGCTTGTATCTGTGCTGTTTTTGATGGATCACAGGGAGCTGTCCTTCATGATACCAGGGCTCTCCAGGGCCTTTGTTCTGCGAACAGCAGCTTCCAAGATTTTCTTCCTGGGTCCTAACTGTATGCGAATGCCCTTCAGGTCGTCATCAGAGCAAAGCATGAGCGCCTCCAGGTCCAAGTGCTCTCTGCTGAAGGCGGGGGCAAACTCTGGCAAGGAGATGGCAGACAGGAACACTTCTAAAGGCGAGCTTTCCTCAGCTTCATCGTCATCCAGTCCCAGGTCTTCCTGATCCCAGGGGAGGTCGGCATCATCAAAATCGTCAAAGCCAGCTCCGTCCTCCTCAGCCTCAAGGGGCTTCTGAACAAGAAAACTAAGGCTTTCGTTGTTGTCACGGGGTGCGTCCTCTATCTCTGTGTTCATTTTGTTCATGAAAATCAGACCTCCGAAGCCTGGCCGATTGAAGATGGATTGCTTGACCTGACCTGGTTTGTTGATGCCATCATCGTTATCCTCATCGTCATTTGCCATTCCTCCTTCATCCAACTCACCCTCGTCCTCTTCATTAAAGACGTCTAAAAACTCTGGTTTATCAGACACCACGCTATCCTGTTTGCGAAAGACAACATTTTTATCTGCTCCTGCATGCTGCAGTGTTCCTTTGTCCTTCTTTGCTAGCCTCTTCAGAAGGGTACCCTTAATAGAGCCAACTTGATCCACAGCAGTGAGCTTGGAGAACTGCTCGTTGACACCACTCATAGTTTCTTCGTCCTGGGACGCCGATCCCATGGTGGCCTCCGACATGGACCCAGGCTTGATTTTGTCCATCTTGCTCTGGTGTCTCTTCTTTACCTTTTCGCAGAGTTTCACTCGCCGTTCTGCCTCCTTCTGAGCCTCCTTCTTCAGGGTGGCGACCTTTCTTTGGTTTTGATTGGTCTGCTGCGCGGCGGCATTGTCCAGAAAGCGCACACATTCCATGTGGCCTCGAGATGCGGCGACATCCATAGCTGAGTGGAAGTCATTGTCCAGGGCGAAGAGGTTTGCTCCAAAGTTCACCAGAAAGCTGAGGATGTGCATGTGGCCGTTATCCGCTGCGAGGTGCAGGGGCGTGTTCCCCCAGATGTCACTCTTGTTGGGATCTCCTCTGTAAAACACAAAAACATCAATGATTTACCTGAATCACCTTGAAAACACTAGTTGTGTTGAATTCTTGGTCTGTTTGCTGAGAATCATCAGTGAGCTCCTATTTCTTTTTTAAATTTTTGATTAGTTAACCTAGTGCAGGGATGTCAAATGACCACATTATAAAACTATACTGTATTACTGTTCACCTTATAAAAGACTATACAATGTGTAGTGTCTTTAAAAGACAGTGGTAAACAACCCCAATAACTTCCTTCATTATGATCAATGCTGGCTTTACAGCAGCATTGAAAATTTTTAAAGACATTGAAACATCTTTTAAGATTGTGCGACCTACATAGAATACTGTGGCAGGCCACATTTGGCCCACAGGCCTTGAGTTTAACACATATGCCCTAGTTTTTTATTTATTTTTTTAATCTTGGGAAAAAAAAGTGGGCAGTTCAAATATTTTCAGATGAACTTCAGATTTCATAATCTTATTTTTAACATAGTGTTGTGGGTCAAGGTTATATTTTTATTTATTTATTTATTTATTTATTTATTTATTTATTTATTTATTTAAAAGCTTGATATAATTTCTCAGCAGGCAACATGCAAACGTGTGTGGCTTTATTGGAAACCAAAACACTTTTGGCCTGATCTGAAACAGCAAATGTGCTGCTGATCAATTTATATTCTTAAAAACAGATTAAACCATTTTTTACTCTTGTTTTGAAGATTTCAGTAGAACTCAATAACAACTAACTGCATAACTAATACATTTCTCATTTTAAATAAAAAATATGACTCTTAAATTAACATTTGAAATGAAAGTCAAAATAACATGTCACGTAAGAAAAAACAAAAATAATGATAATAAATAAATACGAGATCCAAGATAATTGGTAAGCTATTAACAATATAAAGTTCTTTAATGCTTTACTGTCACAGTAATAAAAGTTTTAATTGCACCTTGTCACAAATTCCAGCTTTTACTTGTGATTAAAAAAACCTGTATGCAACATGTTTAAATAATAATTTACGCCACAAGAAAAAGATCTTCTCAAAGTCTCATGCTAGACTGGCTTCTTGTTGTTGAGGTGACTGAGGACTGAGGGGGATAGATGGGTGGATAAAGGCCTCTATTGTTTTGCAGCACAAATTTGCCTGATTAAACTTTTGGCTCAGCTCATATGAGAAAGTCTGTCAGTAACACAAGCAACATAGTGTGAAATACATTCTTTTAAAATGTCAATGGAACTCTTTAAATTTTCTTATTGTAAAGTTCACCTTTGACCCTTACAGTTCTAGTGTTAATATTAATATAGATCTTTCATAAAACGTCAAACATTTATAAAGTCTGATTGATCTAACATAAGGATAACCTCTGTTTTTATCGATCTAGGCCTTGTTGGATGAAGAGGAGTGCTTACTGTCTGCTGCAAATGAGCTGAAGAGCTTCGATGTGTCCATGAAAAGCAGCCAGCAGGGTGGGAGTCATGCCGTCATCATCCGCAGTGTTCAGGTGTTTCCTCGTGGCCTCCTTCAAGAGGTCCAAGTTACCGTCAACTGCTGCTTTGTGGTACCTCGACATCGTTGGAAAGAACACGAATATTTCAATCTGTTGTATCCTTTGTCCCTTCGCTTGTGCCAGAGGAGGAAGAGCAAGCAGACCTGAGCAAACAATGTGATCACTGGGCGTGTGAGCAGCTCGGTCATAAAACAGAAGCAAAGTCCAGCTCTGTGCCCGTCCGAGGCACCATTTCCTGCTGCGACACATCATCAAGTCTCAAAGCTCATTCAGTCATCTGTGTAAGCAGCTGTGAAGCACAAAGTACTGAACCGAGAACAAAATACTAGCTAGAAGTTATTTACTTTTTTTAAAATCTCTAATATATGTCTGTTTGTATATTTTTGTCTTTAAATATTCAGTTGTTGCTCCTTCTGCACCACCCTGTTTAGTCACAGTCAATTATGTGAATTTTGACTGCAATCAATAGCTCCAATCAGGAGCTGCAGTGCATAAGAATGTTTGACGAACATTCAGTAATGCAAAAACAGACAACCAGAGAACAGTTTGTCTCCTCCCGGGCYGAGGCATAAAATGTAAATTGGTATGCCAATTCAAATTTTTGGGATTGTGTTTTGTTATTATGACTTAGATTATCTCTTTTTTCCCCATAGAAGTGGAAATGGGATTCCATGTATTTTGACTGTTACATGACTAAAAAAATCTTTGCAGTATTTTGGTAATTTCATTTATGATGTGCTGCTGTCAAAAAGCACACTATTCCTGATCATGCTGCACATTTTGATATACTTTTTTTTTCAGGCTTTTATAAAATATTATTGGGCCAACAATATTAAAAATGTTCTAATAATTAATCACCAGCTTTAATAGATGTATATTTGAATATATGTATATATATATTTGCATATTTATATTATTGTGTATATATTGTATGTATGTATGTGTAACATATCTACCATTATTTCTCACATATATCCATATGACATATTCAGTACATAATTGATTTTTTTCATATTTTCTGGTTTCTGTTTTATTTATATTCTTTTTCAGTTTAAACTTTATTCTTAACATTTGTCTATATTGTTTTTATATTCACTGTGTACTTGTTATTGCCGCTGTAGCAATTGAATTTCCCTACTGTGGGATTAATAAAGGACTATTCTATTCTATTCTATTCTATTCTATTCTACTCTTTTCTAAAAATTGAAAAAGGGAACAGTGACTAAACAGGGTTTTGCAGAAGCAGCAACAACTGAATATTTACAGATAAAAATATACAAGCAGGCCTATTTTAGAGAGTTACAAATTATGTAAATAAAAACAGGAATCAGTATCAATTTAATTACTTTTAGTTGGTCTTTTGCTATTTTTAACTTCTAGTGTTTTTCTCATATACTGTTGATCTTTAGTGATATTAAGCTTTTAGTCCCGTTTCCACTGTGTTTAACTTTTAGCTGGCTTTTGCTACTTTTAGCTAGAATTTCCCTTTTAGCTTTTAGTTAGTTTTTGCTACTTTTACATTTAGCGGTGTTCTGCTTCTTTTAGCTTTCAGTTAGAGTTTTGCTTATTTTAGATTTTAGCTAATTTTTTTTTACTACTTTTGACTTGTAGCTAGCATTCTGTTTCCTTTAGTGTTCTGAATCTTTTAGGTTTTAGTATCTTGCTTGTTTGTCTTCTAATCAATATTTTGCTCATTTTGGCTTCTATCTTTCTGTGACCCCAACTCTGAAATGAAGAAGTGGGCATAGATAATGGATGGCATCTTTCTGCTTCTTTTAGCTGTTTTTTTTTTTTTTTTAGCTTTAAGCCTGTGCTTTGCCTTTTCAGGTTTAACAATTTAGTTTAATTTTCTAGCAAGTTTTAACAGTCGTTCATCACTTTTCATATTAAATTTTACTGTAGTTTGTGTTCAAAATATATGGAGTCCAGAGAAGACATGGGAGGAAAAATAAATAAATGGATCCTGACTTATTTTCTCAGGATCCCGTAAAAGAAGGATCCCGAGAAAGTTTCTCAGGATCCTGAGTTTTTTTTCCCGCTGGGTTCCGACTTTGTTTCTCAGGATCCTGACAAAGTAAGTCAGGATCCATTTATTTATTTTCTCCCATGTCCCCTCACAGGCTCCGTAAAAACATGCTGTTCATTTAAATAAAAAGCTTTCCAGTTGAAAAGACAACAAACAACAAAACAAAAGGCAACAAAAGGCAACTTTAAAAACACACGTCTTCTTAACTTCAATTAATACAAGTTTTAAGGGACTGCTGACAACCCTAATTGTAGTGACACCTTTAATTAGATACCACATAGCGGTAACATGACCTCCGCACGCACAAATGTACCAGAACTCAGAAGTCTTTATTCCTAATAAATGTCATGCTATGTGCATCCCAAAATTGTAGTGGCTTGGGTGGGGGTCTTTTTTTTCAGATAAACTGGGGTCTGGACCCCAGTTTATCTGGGGGGAGTGGAGGCACTGATTGGTGGGCCTGATGGATGGAGCTTCATCAGAGCTAAACAACAAAATAAATCTTAAGCTCCTACATTGAACAGTTCCTGAGTTATAAGCATTTCACCCCTCTTTGGATGGAGCCCCTCCTCAAATATGGGGTCTATCGTCAAACCGTTGGCTGGTGCAGTGTAGGTCGGACTCATTCAGTCCTGCCAAATTTCATGTTGATTGGTGCAYCCGTTTTTGTGCTACGGTTGACCAAAAATCACTGAAAAATAAAATAAACCGTACGAAAACAATATGACTCCCGCTTACACTTCGCATGCGGGGGTCATAATTATTATGTCAAAAGAATTGAAGCAGGGAGATAAAAGGTGTAATTATCCTGTATTTAGTTATTTTCCTGTCCAGTAGGGGGCGCAGGTCGTTATTTACTACTTGCTAAATGACACAGAAGAAGAAGAAGCACAAGGCGACATTTAATATGATAAATATATTACAAAAAGTAAAAGTGTACAGATTATTTTTTAAATAAAAACAAAGTTATATATAAAAAAAGAACATTTAAGTAACATAACTTAAAAATGTTTCGACCCTCTCTCCAGTAGGTGGTGGTAATGCACACCTTTCGTTATCACACCAGAAGAAGAAGAAGCTGTAGGCGGCACGGAAGTTTGTCTTCAGTCAAAAGCCGCTTTCTTCCAGTCGGCTCTCAGGTCTTAAAAACATTATGAAGCTGTAAACATTTTTTTGTTTTGTGCACCATTCATTCCCTCTGCCTGATAAACCGGGTCGACCAGTTGTCTCTCCTCGGGTCTCTCCGCGGTTACTTCCCGGCTTTTTTCCCGAGTCTTTCTGGGTCCATTCTGAAATGTCCGGAAATGGTGGCTCGGCTGACGGCCTTCTGTCATACGAGACGTTGGTTCATGCGGTGGCAGGAGCAATGGTGAGCAGTTTGATAATTAGTACATGTTTTAATAATTTTGTAGCTGGTGATGTAAGTTAAGGTTTAATTGTTGTCTTGRAGGGGAGTGTGACAGCCATGACTGTCTTCTTCCCTTTGGACACGGCCAAAAGCAGATTGCAGGGTGAGTCTAAGGACAGTTGTGTAAACTGTAACTAGGAAGATTTGCTTCATCYTAAAGCATTTATAACTCTGTCAAACCATGCAAAGGAGTAATATTCTAAATCATCTTTGCACTCTTACACAAATTGTGGAGACTAAAGCAATAAAGCAGTCAGCATTTTATTTAGAATTGAATGTTTCTTTGTTTAAGTAAGGACCAAGTTGCCAAGTGAACTCTTGTTGCACAATAAATACCCCTCCGTAGTTCTTTAGTTACAAATTAAACTGAAGGTATCAACAGGGATTAGGACTCTGAGCTGACASTTGTGTCTAATTCTTGCAACATTGTTCTATTTCAGAACAGCCGAGACACYAGTTTTTGAACATTTGTGTGTTTTTCAGTGGACGACAAGCGAAAGTCGAAGTCCACTCCWGTCATTCTGGCTGAGATAGCCAAGGAAGAAGGCTTGTAAGTATTATTTAAAACTATGCCATTTKAGTGAGTCTGTCGAGTGATAATCTGTTAGAATTCAGACTGATGCGATACCTACATAACTCTCCTGCACTTCTCCCAGTCTGTCTCTGTACAGAGGTTGGTTCCCAGTCATCTCCAGCCTTTGCTGCTCCAACTTTGTCTACTTCTACACCTTCAATGCGCTGAAGAAGGCGGCTGCATCTGGACCAGGYAAACCCAGACCGAGCAGAGACCTGCTGATGGGGATAGCAGCGGGTAAAAGTCATCACTTTTTTTGTTGTCCCAGTTAAGATGCCACTGTATGTTCAGGTTGTTAGTTTATATAATAAACTCTGTATTTGTTCATGCAGGGGTGGTGAATGTGATCCTGACGACTCCCATGTGGGTGGTCAACACTCGCCTGAAGCTGCAGGGGGTGAGGTTCAGAAACGAGGACCTCCACCTGACCCAGTACAGAGGCATATTCGGTGTGTGCTGTGTGTCTGTATTACGTTGCTTCTTTTTGAGCGCATGTCTGCTAAGCCTTGACGTGTTTTCGCTGTCAGATGCTTTCTCACAGATCATTTCTAACGAGGGAGTGAGAACGCTGTGGAACGGCGTTCTGCCGTCTCTCGTTCTCGTCCTCAARCCGGCCGTGCAGTTCATGATTTATGAAGCCATGAAGAGGAGGGCAGGAAAGGGAGCAAGAAAGGTAAGAAAAAMATTTTTATTGCAAATATTTTATGATCAAAACTTGTCTGAAAGACTTCGATTGGGAAGGGGCATCACAGAAATTAAGACCCATTATTTACACGTTGAATGAACACATTTTTTAGATAAAATCCATTCAGTTATTTCACACTGTTATGTATTTATCTCCTTCKACAGATATCCTCCGCAAATATTTTTCTCATTGGAGCTGTTGCCAAGGCCATTGCTACCACAGCGACGTACCCACTCCAAACAGTCCAGGCCATCCTGAGGGTAAATATTTCATATCATGAACTAATGAAGTTTCAGATGTTTGTATTTTCAGTAAGTCTCATAAAGACCAACGCTATAAATGCATTGGGTCTGGTTAGAAGAAATTTAAAGTGAAGTAAAAGCCTGGTAATGTTTTAGTGTGGTGTAAATGCGGATTGTTTTATWTTTTTTTATATTAAATTCAAAGATTTCGCTAAGGTAACCCACAGCTTGCTTCTTCATCAGTTCGGTCAGTACAAAGGTGATGGCAAGGGCGGTCTGATGGGAAGCCTCTCGACTATTTTTTTCCTGTTCGTGGAGAGGGTCAGGTGAGTTCACGGATCCACACTTACCCCCCGAACGTCATCTGCGAATGGTCACTGATATGAAGTTGATCTGATTGTTGCAGGACCCACGGCTTTCTGGGTTTGTACAAAGGCTTGGAGGCCAAGCTGCTGCAGACGGTGCTGACGGCTGCCCTCATGTTTGTTGTTTATGAAAAGATCACTGCTGCTACCTTCAAAGTCATGGGTTTGAACAGAAATCTGAAGCACTGAATACAGAGCAGCTTTAGTGTCGTCATTAACAGAAAGTTTTATCGGTGCCTGCTACTGATTTATGATTGTTTCAACGTGATATGCACTGTAATTTGAGCCAGTTTGCTTTTCTAAAGTATTTCCTGTGAACCCAGGATGGATTTATTTTCTTTCCAAAGAAGCATCTGGGTTTAAACTTTGACCATTTTTGTCTATGCAGACACATTTTCTCCACCACCTACGTCCTGTCTGGTGTGTTCATTTATGTTCTAAATGGTAATACTGTAGCGTTGGTATGACACTAATTCATACATATTCAAGAGCTTCTCTATTTACACTTAATGGGCCTCAWGCAAGAACACGTTCGTATTCTTATCCTAAATTTCTCTTACTTTTGTTCGTATGAAGGGTTCGTACGAACATGTCACGTCAGATTCAACAAACTCTTCTATCTTCAGGAAAAGTGCGTAAATGAGCTGCGTAAATTTCACCTGTTCTATCCAGCTGCTCGTGCATGCGAGAGGAGATTAGCATAATTACCACCCCCAAAAACACCATATAAGGCTATGTTTCCTACCTCAGATACAAGGAAGTGTTCATTCATGAAAAATGACAACGAAAACTAAAAAAATAAAAACTTTACGAGTTCAGAGACTGAAGTCCGTCTGTCAGAGATCCAGAAAAGAAAATCTGTCATTTTTAACAGCTCAGCTGTGGGATAAAAAGAGCTGCTAAAAGTATAAACAACTGTGTTAAATCATTTTCATTTATTCAGAAGACACAGCGCTGCGCACCGTACACCCCCCCGCACGCACTGCGCGTGCGCAGGTGGTCTCAGATGCGGGTTTGAAATAAGTCTGGCACTTTGGAGAAAATCCGGGACTTGATCATATATCCCCTCTGGCCTGGGAACGTCTTGAGTCCCCCAGGACGAGCTGGAAGGTGTCGCTGCGGAGAGGGGGTCTTTCTGCTGCTGCCACCGAGACCTGATCCCGGATAGGCGGCGGAAAACGGACGAACGGACAATTTATATTGTTAGTCTAAATTATTACATTTAAAATTATAACTCTAATTCAAGCAGAATAGCCTATTGTCAACATAATTATGGAGTGTAATTTATTTTCAACTCAAATTATCTTCAAACTAACGAAATATAAAGTTATTAGGGAAGAAAATCCGTCTGGATAACAGCAGACTGACTGCTCGTAAAATATACGACAGGTCTGGACCACTCGTGAATTTTGTTCGTATCTGAAAAAAATCTTAGAATACGAAAACATTGGTGAATGCCACAAATTCTCCTAAATCACTCGTACGCACAARTTAAGAACAAATCTGTGCGTACGAACGGTTCTTGCATGAGGCCCAATGACAGAAGAAAAAGTGTCAGGACCTGAGATTGCAATATAGGAAAACGTTTTTTCCCCTCTGAACATAGAAAAACAATGCTTTAGCTTTAAAAAGGCCAGTTTACGTGACATTCCYCATCTTTCCCATCAAATAAGATACTTCAACTCAGCCCAATTCCAGGGATTACACTTGGTGTACCTCACAATGTCAAATAGGTTCACTATACTTGACAAAACTGATGATTACTTTTTACCTTTAATTTGAAACATTCTCTCACTTGTGTTGTAACTGTGAATTTAAGCAGGTTTTATGTCCTGCAGCACAGAAACTTCATGAAATCGTGGCCAGATAAAGATTTTTGCTTGTGTGGAAATCGAAGTCAGTAAAATCAGAACTGATTTAAATAAAATTATAGTTTAAATGTAAAATCTGGATTTGATTTTCCAGTTTAGATTGTCAGTCATAACTTTTAAATATATACATGTATGACTAAAATTAATGTAATCAGGATTTAWTACGTTTAACAGTAAATACATGTTTGTATTGATGTTATAGTAAGTGCCTGAATACTTAGAATTGACTAAACTCTGAATTGTTCTAAATCTTGTAATTTTCTGTTTACACTCTCAGTTTAACGCTGCTGCAGTAGCGTGTGGCATTTATCGCCGTACATGTATGATTTATTAAAAGCTGCCTTTTAATCTTATTTTTTTTAAAGCTGATTTTCTCTCTTGYTTACCGAGCCACCTGTCTGTTTTGTGTGGTTACGGTTAATCATTAAGTGTTTTGCTTTCAGCACCACTTGGCGACTTGTGACATCCAGTTTTTACTGAAGCTGAACACAAAGTGCAAGTTGTATTTGGTACAATATCAGACCACGTGTTAGTTACTGTTGTATTTATTCAATTAAACATGGAATTCATTTGTTTACATGAAAATATTTGTAAGAAAAAAAAATTGTTACTGATCATTTAATTACTTGACTTTTTTACATCACATTTGTTTTAACAGTTTCAGTTTTTTTTTCGTTGACAATGTTTAAAAAATAAATTATTGTTTTAACAAGGGAATAATAAAAATTAAAGAATATTTACAAAGAATTACTTTATTTACAACTATTACATGCCACATGTAGCATTGAGATTTGATTGGTGCAGCTTGTCATTGAACTGTTTTCTGACTTAAAAAAAAAAATCAAAGTTTACCGTGTGAGTCTAGAAAACTGGTCACTGCCTCGGTGTACCAGGGGGGCAGGAAGGAAAACTGCGAGTCCCTGTGGACGGAGTAGGTCACATCTCTGTGGGGCTCCCAGCAGAACAGGTARACCACACTGAAATATTTTTATTGCAGCAGAAACTTTAACAGATATTTATCTGAATTTAAACATGGGAGAAGTGCAGTTTGTTATCACTCACCTGGGATTGTCTTCAGTAGCGACACGCTTCACAAAAGACAGAAAATCACAGCAGAAGTTCATGCACACTGTCGGCTTCCAGCAGTTGTGTTCATTCTGTAAAATAAAACCTGTAGTATTTATCCTAATGTTGAATTTCCTTATGTGTGATTGCTAACTGGAGGAAAAATAAAGCTAATATTGCTTAAATCACAACAATTCACCTTGATGAGCTGGGAAACTTTGGAGATTGGAAAAGTGTCAACAGAAACGACTGTTCCGCCATGATCCCTGAACCCCGCCACGACTCGAGGAACTCCAGGGAGAAAAGACTGAGCCCACCACTTGAGTAGTTTGAACCTGATAACCCCACCAAAATGAAAAGTACCTTCAGAATCCATGTAAAAACTAGAAAAAAAAACATTTAGCCGTTTCACTGACCTGTGGAAGTTGCTGCGCTGTTTGGGTGTGCAGATCTCCAAAGAGGTCTTCAGCTCCACGTAACAGGCAGGAGGTGGTGGAGCATTGGGGTCTTTATCTCGACAGTCCACCTCTCCGGAGAAAAGAAGTTTGTGATCTGTGAGGCGAGTGTGAACCACCGTGCAGAAGGCTTCATTAGTGTTCACCACTCCGCCGGGGTCAGGCAAACTGTGGATGTTATCTGCAGGGAGGGACAAAAATGTTGAGAATCTGTTTTATCACTGACAACTGGTTACTGCCAAATACCAAAAAAAGAAGGAATGGGGACACTAAAAGATAAAGCTGAAGCTTGTTGATGACCAGACTGATCACTTAAATAGAAGAAAAAACAAGAGTAACTGTCACACCTGCACACATGTACTGCTCAAACTTGTATCCCCAGTACATCATCTCCTGGTTCTTCTCAGGACGGTTCTCTCGGTCCCTGCGAGCAGCTTCTGTTTCCACCTCACTGATGTAAATTGTGCCGTTGAACCTGGTTACTGCCAGCAGCCAGCCCTCCCGTGTCTCYTATGGTGTAGTCAGCAGCTTGGTCAGGTGGCCCCGCCATGTCACAAAGTCAAAATCTAAAGGACTGAGAGGAGCAGAGGTTGGTCAAAGAACAGCTTTTCTTGCAGGTATCCATGTGGTAAAAAGTTGATAAACRATGGCAAAAAAAGAGGCACTATTCTCCAAAGAGCAAATATGACACATTATTCAGATTTAAAAAAGGGTAGGATAATTTACCAAGATCTGATTTTTTTTTCAACCAAACAAAAAAGCTGAATGAGCACCCTTCAAGAGTGATGTGTTGCAAGAGGTTCTACGTAAAAACAAACAAAGCTGCAATAAGTTAGCAGCTACTCTTACCGTGAAGAGTTTGCAGTTCCCTTCGATTCCAGTTTTGACATGTTGGTTATGATCCACTTAAGAATATGGTCRAGCCTCTCCTTCACATTTTCATCTCTCTTTACATAGCGATCTTTGTACCCATCCCTGAGATCAAAATTAGGACTTTTGTCWGGTTCCACATAGTATCTCATCTGCCTGTCGTCATTAAAAAACKTACGCTGAGAATCGAGAGAGAAACATCCTATTTCCACGGGCTGTTTGTACAAAGGAAAGTCTCTCTCATAAAGCTCCTTCCTTGTGCTCAGAGTCTGGGAGCTGAGTGGGTTTTGTGCTGCCGTCGACCGAGACTGATACTGGTGCTGATTAGGGGATCCAAAGGGTGTGCTGTCACCGTGGTTTCTTCTGTCATTGTCTCTTTCTCTCCTGTATGCCGACTGGTGATGGTACCCTGTGAGAGGGCTGCGAGATCTGTGGCGGTCCATTCCTACATTTGAAAAGAACAGAGAGACAAGCTGAAGATGCTCTTGACTCAAATATTCAATGTTCCAATCCAATCATAGTGTAACATGACCACAAAGCAGGTCTCTGGTTATAACCATAAGGGTCAAACAATGTCTGCACGTTTCTGTTTGACGCAACAAGATGCATGATATACTCAGTACTCAAAACTTTTACAACTGTCAACACACTGCGCATTAACAGCCTAGCATGACCCTCTGGCATTATCTGACACCAAAAACTACTGAATCTATTTTAAAACTGCTCTTTTATTCCTTATTTATATACTGTGCATGCATATGAATTTACACATCAATTTATTTTCATGCTATTTATCTTGCGTACTCATCACGAGTTTTCATTTATAAAATATCCATCTTTCTAAAATTATTAAACCTACCTMGGAGTACTCAACAAAACCTGTTTATTTGTCACTCGCTATAAAAAAACATTAAAATCAGGTTTACGTATATTATATCAAATTACATCATAACGTTTTTCCACTCATACAAATTAAACTTGGCAAAAGAAAGTGAGRAAAATAGTGAACGCGTTTTTCAGTCCGCTAACTAGCTACACATGCTACAAACAAATCTGACACAACTTCCGCTCAGGAAGTAACGTGATATATCGCGATACTTTATTCCACGTTACCCAAAATAATGGGGACAAGAAAATTCTTTATTTTGGAGTTGTGCCGAAGTTTTGGACTTTATGTTAGATAAAATTATGTTTAAGCTAAGTTTTATTGCCACACTTTATCAGGTAATGTTTGTTGTTGTTTTGTTAAAATTCTTGGTCAACATTTTGAATAAAAAAATGTCTGTGTTTATCAGCGTTAGCTTGACTTGACAGCTAAATTCAGTGTGATCAAAGTAAACCGTGTTTCCAGTAACATTGATATTTTTGGTAAATATTACGTGTGGAAATACGAACACTAAAAGTATTTAGGGGCGAGTGAGAGTAAAATAGTTTGCCTTATACAAACGATACATTTTCAGTGAGACACTTGGCTGCTTGAAGAAAACCACGTTAAAAACAGGATTTCTCTTTTTTTGTTCTGTTCCAGGTATGAACAGGAAACGGGCTCTTGTTTCAGACACTTTTAACTTGAAGAAAAGGAGAAATGGAACTGAAAAATTTGGAGCTGTCAGCCACAAAGATGGTGAGCTTTTTTCAAATTCTGTTGAAATCAAAACAATGTCTATTTTATAGTCCCATTCTTCTTTTTTTCTACAAGGACCAACGGACATTAAATCCACCTTGGAGTACCTCATGACGTTGTTTCCCAGGAAGCTCTTTAATGACGCTCTGCCTCAAATTGTGTTAAAGCACCAGTTGTACAGCATACATGATGACAAAACACTTGTTGACAAGGAAGTGGTAAAAAGMCTTTTCAGTCCTGTATATGCTTTATGATTTTCCAACTATTTATCTGAATGTGAAATACAGTCCATCTCTGTCCTTGCAGAGTAAACTGCGTGAGTGTGGAGAGCTGTTGATGTTCCAGCTTGGATTCGACACAGAAGCTTTTGGGCTGCTTTTCACTTCAGACTACAAAGCAAAAGTGCTGTCAGGCGAGGAGGGGAAGGCGACTCGAACAGTCGTGGAGAAGTTTTTGGAGAAAGTGGTGTCTTCGTGCACGGATCTGAGCTTCAGCAAAGACAAGATGCTGAGGGAGTTTCTCTTCACAGACTCTGAGATAACGTATGAAAGAACCCCAGTCTATGACACGCTGTGCTAAAAACTGAAAGTAAATCTTAATATTGTTTGTTTTTCTCTCGCCACTCAGGCAGCTGGTGAAATCAGGGGTCCTGACTGTGAGAGATGCAGGCAGCTGGTGGCTATCCATTCCCAACTCTGGCAAGTTCACCAAGTACTTCATACAAGGTTGGTTCTGTGCCTCACCGTAAAGGTGCCATGATATTTTGCCTCTGTCTGTTTTTTAAATCTATTACTGTTATCGTCTGGTCAACGTTTCTCAGGRCGTAAAGCGGTGCTTGGCATGGTGAAGAAGTCCAAATACAGTGAAGCGTTACAAGCAGACTTAGAGGAGCGACGAACAACTTCACAAGTTAAATTCCCTATGAAATATCACATCCATGATATTGTTGGAGCAGAGCTGGTAGAAAGGTAACATTTTTAATGGTTTCTTTCATTAAAAAGAAAAATAAGTAGGTCCTCTGGACGGGTTCTTCTTTAATGAAATGTTTCGTCTCTCCTCCGAGACTTCCTCAGTCTGAGGAGTTAGGCCTCAGACTTGGATTACCTTAYCCAATCAAGGCACTAACGATAGGTTGTTAGTGCCTGTTGGCTCTATTGTTCATAGAGGGTCATGTGCCCCATCACCTGACTATCGTTGGGGCCCCGATTCACACCTTTTGCTCACAGGGGGCGGAGTCATACTTGCAATAACAGCACTGTAGAAGGGATATGAAGGCCTCCACCTCTGTTTAATGGTGGACGGTTTTTCTTCACAAAGATGGCTTCCTTTACTCCTCTCTCAAACCAACGTTCCTCTCTATCAAGGATGAGAACACCTTCATCCCTGAAAGAGTGACCGCTGGCCTGTACATGAGTGTAAACTGCAGAGTTCTGACCCGATGAAGTAGCTCGTCTTTGCTGGCTCATTCTTTTGAACAGTGGCTGTTTTGTTTCCCCAATGTATGACTGATCACAGTCCTCCTGGCACTTAACAGCATATACTATATTACTCTGGGGGACTGGATCTTTGGGGTGAATTAATCTTTGTTGTAACGTGTTTTGGGGTTTGAAAGCCACTGGGACGTCATGTTTAGAGAAGAAAACATCTCAGTTTCTCTGAAACTCCCACCAACATACGGAATAACCACTGGTTTGGGTCTGGGTTTAGGGTCTTCATTTTCAGCTGGTTGTTGGCTGGAATTCTGTTTGGATTTCTTG